CCCCAATAAAAGCACAAAAAACCCTCACCCCAATAACAAACATGATGACAGGGTGCTGCTGCTGATATTGAAGGTGATCAAATGTAAATATATTGGGAATGTAATTACAGGAATCAAAGAGAGGAAACCTTACAGACAAATACTATTAGAATGACGGCATTACAATAACCAATAAAACAATATTCTTCAGAATGAATCATTGATGATGATGATGATGATGATGATGATGATGATGATGATGATGATGATGATGATGATGATGATGATGATGATGATGATGAAGTCCTTCATAGCGGCAGCAGGTGGCAACAACAAAGTTGCGATCCAGAGTGATAACCAGTAAGCAGATGTGAAGGAACGAGAGTTGGTGGTTGGCGGATGCTGGTGTGGTTTTATCCTTCTTTCCGGTCAAACATCTACCTAATTGTTCTCATCTTTCCTCCTTTTCGTTGTATGTTACTCTCTAGTAACACTTCTTCTAATCTTCAGCACTTATATGAACCTAGTTATGTTGCAAGTGCGTAAAACTCTTACTAAAACAGGAGCGAGTCTGCGGAGTGCAACAACGCATCAGTGAGGCCTTACTGTCTCTTGGCGTCTTCAGATGGGCAGAATGCTTTTTGAATATTGGTAGATATTGGGCTACTTCAGAATTACAAAGTTTTATCTGTTTAGTAGCCCTGCCTTGTTTTTTTGAGAAGTTTGACGTTAAATTTCACATGTCAAGCTTTTTCGAATGAAGTTCGTTGAATATCTTCATAATAATTCCGTATAATCTTACGATGTTGATACTGCAGATATAATATTTGATTTCTGACCTGTTGGTTTTAGTAACTCAAATCAGCCAAAAAATGTCAGATAGAACTTCGTATTTTTAAGGCATCGATTAGTTAGGATTTACTTTAAAATATTAAATTGAAGGAAAATTATCATCAACAATAAACCTCTTGTGTCGGGGACTCTCGTGGTGTAGAAGTTATGGTGTTCGCCTCTCATTCGATAGATCCCGGGTTCAAATCCGGATAGTGACGGAAAATTTAATTCTCTAGAATTTTCTCCTTTCACATCCTTTCCCGCTCTCAATGTTTTGTCGCCTGCTTTCCGTGGGGGCAGAAATTGGAGACGAAACTTTCGTCTCCAATTTCTGCCCCCATCCCCTCACCTCCTTTGCCTCCTCCTCTGGGCTCATGACTCTTTCTGCAGCCTGTCTACTGCTACTCTTTGGATCTTTCTTACTGCGGTCTTTCAGCCACACCCCTGATCTTATGGTTTGTTTTGTTTTTGCAAGGTTTTACGGCGCTCTCAACTGCATAAGGTCATATGAGCGCCAAGGGGTGGATGTCAACAGAGAAGTCCAAACATCTGTTGAGTTTTGACTAAGCAGTGCAATTAATCTTATGGTAGGTAAGGTAATATCTACATCTAGCCTTCTTGGATTAGGGCGAAAAATCTCGGAGGTCCCATGTGCAAGTTGCGCTCGTTAAAAATCCCTTGATGGTCCAAAACCCCAACCCGCCATCTGGGCAAAATTCAAAAATTCCAACCAACTGAAAATGTTTAATGTGTCCCCCGAGCTCGTATGACCTTATTATGCAGTTGTGAGCGCCACAAAACACAAATATTTAAAAAAAGGGAGTCTCTGGTGTGGCGGTTAGGCAGTTCGCTGTTCAAGCAGGAGACCTGAGTTCGCTTACTGAGTTGGGAAAAAGTTTTATCGAGCGTCTCGGTCTTTCCGCTTGGATGTTGTATCCTTTTCAGCCCCGGTTGGCCCTGACATCAGGGTCGGAAGCACGCTTCCTAAATGAATGGTCTAAATGGTGTCGATTTGGGGGGATGGGGGGAGGGAGGAGGGGTATAAAACACTTGCACTATTATTTTTAAAAAGAGATAAAAAGGGAAAACATTTCCTCCCTTCTCTCTCTCTCTCTCCTTCCCTCTCCCGTACTAACCCCCCCTCCCCAAACCCTCTCTCGGGTTACACAAATCCCCTCAATTCCATAGCCGTGTACTTTTGAAACCACACCCCCGAAACACTGCAGATTTTCATTCAGTAAAAGTTAAGATAACGCTGCAGTACAATAAAATACGTTATAGGATAACATAAAGTCAAAACGATTGGTTGTCAGTAACCTCTCTATTTCTGTTCTCTTGCCGTTATCGAGAGAAAGAATTTGGACAGTTATTGTCTTGACCACTATCTGTCTCTGTCCCTTGAGGTCATTTTAGGGCTTGACTGAGACCTTGCGCTGTCCAGACACTGTGATACCTGACACAGTGAGAAGAGGGCCTCACATGTGCAGCCACAGGTAGGGGAAACGCATAGACAAGTAGGCTACAGGTAATTATCATTCACCTCGCTACTCCACTAAACATAATTTAGATCAATAAGAATTGGGAAGCTGAATGTCACATCTCTAGTCAGGTGGGTGGTTGGCGGGTGCTCTAGTGTGGTTTGCTCCTTTTAAACCTGTCTCTAAGTTCTAACGTCTATCGTCCGTATCTCTCCTCCTGTTTTATGTCTGTTACTCTCTTGTAACTAATGTAACACACTGGATCTTCGGCACATTAAATAATAATTATCTAATTGTGTTGCAAGGGTCGTAAAACTCTTACTAAAACTAAAATTAGAACAACTCTGGCCATCTGGGTCATCGTTATTTTGTGTAGCATAATAAATTGATTCTTGCAGAAGGACAGCGATACTCGTTGACATTTCCCCTATGTTGTGAGAATCGATATCGCATCCAATATAAGTTCATCCGTGCAGAAAGACTACGATACTCGTTAAAATTCCTCCTAAGTTGTACTATTATGTAAAAATCGAAATCGCGTCCCTATTGTTACGAGACTCAGTGGTTGACCAGTACACCACCGGATCCGGTTTCTTCATGTTTATGCATTAGCATAGCTATGAAAAAGACGACGTTGCTTAGTTTGAACCTTTTGCTTTATTTATAACAAACACTGAAGAGCACGGTTCCGAAAAGGGCATGCAATTTCTCTCCATTGATAGCATGTCTGACTTTGTTGTATACTTGGCCCTTGTTCGAACCACGCGTGGGGCCTTCATTGTCTTTGATTGGTGAGTTTCTAAAGCTCTTCATTCTATCGGAGATCTATGGACATTAACTTCAGAACTCCTGCAAAAAAGGGTGTGACCGAATAATTTCAGAACAGAACTTGAATGATAAGATTATGTGGCGTCGATGGCCTTTTAGTTAGGCTCTCAGACTCGCAGCCGGAAGGTCGTGGGTTCGAATCCCGTGAAGGGCCCTACGTTGTGTCCTTGGGAAAGGCACTTTACACGAATTTTCCTGACTTCACCCAGGTGAGAATGGGTACCCAGCTATAAGACAGTGAAAGACCTTGTCAGTTTGTCAGTGTTTGAGCGCTTAACCTGCTGCTTGCACTGTATGCTTCCCAGGAAGCTGAGAATGTTTCCGAGTGTTCTATGGTCTTCTGGAGTAATAATGTAACGTAAAGCGCATAGAGCTTGCTGTAGAGTGGGGTTATGTGCTATACAAATGCTATTTATTACTGTTATTGTTATTATTATTAT